AATGCAATGAAAATAAATGATAGTCAGCAGGTGAATTGACAAACCGATTTTGCTGTATCATTTACACTCGTTATCGAAATTCTTAGGTACCTACAATAATATAATATTAACAATAAATTGAGCACATTCACAATATAGTATGTAGGCTAAAATTATTAAGTACAACAAATATAATAATAAAAATCACGTTCAAATGACTTTATGAATTAAATTATTTAACAATTAATTAATTGTTTACTTTGTATGTGCGTGTTCATTTCTTTTTATGGAATGTTCATGTTTTACCGGCATTTAATTTTGTTTATCACGATTCTTGTTTTCATTCACGTCAGTCACTAGGTAGCAAGCCTATGATAAAAAAGAAAATCACACAAATAATATTATTTACAATTGCGCGATATTTTTTTAAAAATCAGTTTGTCACAGTTTTGACGCATCATAATTTTCTAATTTCCATTTTTGCCTTTCGATGTCAGTTCTGCACGATTCCATGGACAGCTTTGTCTTTGCAGCATTGATGGCCAAACATTTTTGACTGCTCCCATGCCTAAGAAGTACATTATCAGGATCGTATTCCCAGAACTGATTGCCCTTTGACCCGTGGCATGGGTACAATATGACTTCTTGGCCACTGTAATCCAGACAGGCTTCATCCCTCCGGATTTCACCCGTTTTTGTATACATCCAGTACTGTTATAAATAAAAATTGATTAAGTTTTCAGAAATAAATTTGAAACATGTGAATAAAGAAATAAGTAGAAATATAATAAAAATAAGGTTTTCAAATTATTGTAATAGGGGAAAAAGCATCGTTTATTATTATTAGGTGTATGTACAAATTTTTTAATAAGTAATCCGTAATATCGACAACTTCAATGTTAAAATCTTAAAGTATAGTTAGTTGAAGTAGTAGCGCCTCTAGAAGGTAGATGCGGGTTTATTACAAATTTTGAAAATAATTGTTTATAATATCAATCAGGTCTCACCACCACCAGGTACCTGTGAGCATTTATATTATTTAATTTTGAAATGGGACAAAAAGTGTACAGCAATTAAAGTATAATAAATTTAGCTTATTGCTCTGATGATAACAAAATAGTGATTAACATTAACAAGTTATGATGACATGCAGTCATTGCGTTGACAAATCGTGCAATTAATAATAAATAATAGAGGACCAAAACATAAATTTCTAACAATCAAATATTGCTTTTAGGAATAATAAATTACAATTGAAATTTGTATGATAATAATTGTTTGATAGACGACTTTAAGACCTTTTTCATACATATTCACATGAAATAAACTGAATAATTATCGAAATATGTTTATGTTACTTTTAAAAAAGTTTCATATACGTATATTACATAATGCAAAAAGTACTGTTTGATCCAAATATTTAAACAAATTGTACAAGAGATAAATCGCAAGTTATTATTTCGCAGGACAAATTTTGATTGGCAATTATTTAACCTTGAAAAAATAAATAATCATACTCATGATTATGTTAAAACAACCCCATCTAAATAAAAATTCCCTTATGTGAGTTCTGTACACTTGAGTTAATAAATAGTAAACAGTATTGTGGTTAGATAATGTAGGAAAATATACAACTGTTAATAATAATTAGTAAATATATAGAAAGAAATTTCCAAAAGCCACAGGGAGGAGAGAAAGAAAAAGGTAATTTTTTTCTTTGGTGGTGGCGTTACCTGATTACCGCCCTGGCCATGGCAGGGCCAAAGGCCTACGGGTTTGTGCATATCTTCGGGATTGCATGGTGAGTCTAAACAGACATCTCTACCCAGAAGCGCCACCTGTAAAGTAAAGAACATTGTTATTAACGACGTAGTGATCCACATTACCTGATTTCCACCCTGTCTGTGACAGGGAAATATGCCAACGGGCTTGTGTAAATCGTTCTTTCTCGCAGGCGAATCCATACATGTTTTCTTTCCAAAAGCCATGTTTCTAAACTATAATGAAAAGTGTTAAATTACTAAATTATCTACCAAATATTTATACAAAAGAAATTATGAGTGCTGTCAGCACAGTAGTATTACGTAGTATCAGAAATTTCTTATGCTAAAGTGTATGATGTGTTCCATACCCATTTACAAACGATTCCTTTAAATTTAATTCTTTAAATAATTTTTAACACAAAGAAAGTGTAAATAAATTGTTCACAAAAGTGAATTTCGACCACTCGAAGCAATGGTACTAACATTTTCAAGCTCACAGTGTCAGGGAAGAACTAGTATACTTAGATTTTTTTAATTTTTTGATATGTTATGATTTATTATGAAAAAAAAAATATTTAGTAGTTTTAACGGGTTTTGTGTCTTTGCCAGGCAACTGCCGAGCTCAAGCTCAGTATGCCCTGACGTCCCCTGGCCACGGCCCTGGCAGAAAGCATTATTCGAGGCCAATAAACCCAATTTGCCTCCTGATCCTGATATAGCGTGTTTGTGGCAATGTTCAATTACGCGTGTTTTTGCCCATGCCGCCTGCCTCTCTTCACATTTCTTCCCTACTTCACCGCTCTAAAACCCCATTATCTAAACCGGGACACATTACTGCGATTACATGACCGGGCAGGAATTGAAAAATTGCACTCTTGTTATTTGTAGACGACCAACTTTCTAAATTCGTTTACGGTGGTATATGCATTAACTGAATAATACTTCAAAGTTCGGATTTGATGAATTTGATCCAGGACTGTTAATCCTTCAGTAATAGCAGCGATGAGGTCTCTTCCGCTAACTACTGTAGTTGACATCCTTAGTAGTTGGCGAAACGGTAATCTCATCGAAGCATAATGAATCCTTGCAAAATAAAAAATTGCATAATTGACCTAATGTTTTTGTGCATTGAAAAAGAGCGAGTGCAATTCGTACAGCCCCTGAATGTTAATGTATTGCACTTCTCAGAACCGTCTGGTTCGTCTAATTGCTTCACCTTTTCGTCGAAGAACAACCTAATTGCCACATTTACCAAAGTGGCACATTACAGACGGGATAAAAAACGCGTTCGCGACCAATATGAACAGAACACGGAAGTACCAGGTATGATTGTACATGTAGGCAGTTAACAGATACAAAATGGGATCAATTGAATGGTACCATAAATGGAAAGGCTAATGAAATGCTGTGCTGGACGTTTTTTGATGGATCATTTTGAAACTACCAAATGAATGAATGAATGAATGAAACGACACGATTTAGATTTGGACTTGGACTGGGAATTGTGTTTGATTAATTGGATATTTAGATATTTGAATATCAGTAGTTCAAACACATTGAAAATTTTTGAAATTAAAATATTCAGATATTTAAATATCCAAATATTGAAATATTCAAAATTCCAAATTTTCAAATACTTATTTGATTATTCACAAATATTCAAATATCTGGGTATCCAAATATCAGAATAAACACCATCAAGCTTGAGGTTCTGTGACACAAATACTTAAGAGGACCTTTATTAAATGTTAGTCAGTTCCTCGGTTCCTATTTTCTTCATCAAGTGCGAGATTTTAAAAGTTCTAGTTTTTTTTTTTAATACCGAGTGTTCAAGTCATCATATACCAGGATTTCAGACATTCTACTTGAATTAACATATTTATTAAATATTGAATGTTTGATGGTAAAAACAAGTGAACATATGGATATTTACAATTTCAAATATTTGGGTATCTAAATATCTGCATACTCAAATGAGTGTTCAAATCAAATCATTGTTTATCAGGATTTCAGATATTCAAATATTTGATTGAATCTGTTCATTATTCTTCCCCTAGTATTTAAATAAATTTTCTTTATTTTTCAAAAACAACAGAAACTTTAATCCCTGATCGGCTTTGATTTATCTATTACTCTGGTTATTTGGTTTGAATATTTGCATAATCAAAACGCTTATGGAACATCTGCTAGCTAGCTACTTGAATATTTACGAACATAAATATCGGATAATTCCAAAATAAACTACTGGTGCGTAAAACCAGGGACCCGGGTTCGATTCCCGGCGAGGGAGTGACAGCACCAACAATTTTTTCTCACTAATTTGAGGTTAATCGTCGTGGATAAAGTTAATTAAAACAATAATTCCAACCCCCAGTTAAACCACCCTTTTTAGAAGAAAATAAAAACTAAATGAGTTTAAACTCCAAATGTGATAATAATCAAAAATAAAAAATTTACTAATGAAAAAGCGGTATCATAAGTGTTTTTTATCTCAAATTTTTATCATTTTCAAATTTCTACGTCGAGTTATAAACAAAAATTATTTTGATGCACTCAAAAGTAGCCCACAAATGTTAAGATATGGATCAAACGCATTGTTATCCGTAACAGTAATTACAGTTTGATTAAGCTCATAATTAAAAAGGAAAAAAAGCAATTGTATTTTCATTTACGTAGGTGATCAATTACGATGTTTATACAATTAATCTTTTAATAATAATTAATAATTATGTACTGATGATGTATTGTAACAATAAATCGGTATAAGCATAGAAAATTAATTAATTTATCGTCTTTGTGAGGTTTATAGGTGGTGTTAACGGTATAAACAACTGAGTAATTTGATGTTATTAATTTACAATTATAAATACAACGAAGGTGCAAACTGTTCTGAACAGTATCTTCTGTTTTATGATTTAACTTTGTTTAGAATTTCTTGACTGTCTCTAGAAAGGGAGGAAATTCTCGATTACGGTAAGTACGGCACCTGGACTGGTGTTTTGAAGGTCACAGATAATACTTGTGTTAGCAGATAATATTAGTTGTTTATTTTTGTTTTTTTTAATGAATTCGATTTAGATAGCTTTAAATAAAATGGAAGCGGTATTGATAAGTGGCTGATTTTAGGTATCTAGGAAGTCAGATAAGTCAGGACGGAAGGAGTAGTAGGGATATAAAGCAAAGGATAGTGCNAATATTAGTTGTTTATTTTTGTTTTTTTTAATGAATTCGATTTAGATAGCTTTAAATAAAATGGAAGCGGTATTGATAAGTGGCTGATTTTAGGTATCTAGGAAGTCAGATAAGTCAGGACGGAAGGAGTAGTAGGGATATAAAGCAAAGGATAGGGTAGGATCGAGTAGCCTTCAATAACAAGAAATCACTTCTATGCTCGCGAACGGTTAATTTAGAAATTCGAAAAAGGTTATTCAAGGTGTATGTTTGGAGCGCGGTGCTGTACGAGTGCGAAACATGGACGGTGGACGCGCCGAAAAAAAAAAAGGTTAGAAGCATTAGAAATGTGGTGTTACAGGCTGGAAGAATGATGAAGATACCGTGGATAGAGGGAGTTAGAAATGAAGAGGTATTAGAAAGAATAAGAGAACAGAGGAGTATGGAATTCAATAAAAAATAATAGTAAGACACCTTCTCATGAATGAAGGTCTAGTCAGAGACATATTAGAGACAAGAGTTAGCAAATAGTTAAGTATGTGGGATGTACTAGTTTTAGGGAAGTGCGAATATTAGCTCAAGATAGGAAGGATTGGAGGTGCGTGTCCGATCAGTCTTAGGACTGACGACCTTATGTTGATGATGATGATGAATTCGATTGTAAGGTTTTTAGTTTTATATATGTAGATCAATAATTTAGCAATTAATAAGTTGCTGTTTGTGCAGACAGTTGCTACGTCAATGAAACTTTTTTAATTACCATTAAAATTCTACATACATTATTTGTTCTTTCGGGTTTTATTTTAACAACCCTTTTAATATGAGATTAAAATAAAATTCATCAGAATTTCATCCCATAAAACATAACATAAATATTTCTGGTTTAATTCATGTGCGAAAATGTGTAGAGAAATCAAGGAACGATGTATCGTTGATTCTGCGAACGTGTTTCCAGTAAAATGTTGTCCTATTTTATTATTTCCAGCATGTCACATAGGACTATAACAACGGTCGCTTGTTGAGGACCCCTTTATGTGTAATAAATGAATTTATGGATTCGCGACGGTGTTGTTTTGATTTATAACGACGAAAGTTGCGGATTTATTACGAAGGGCTGTCACGGACACTGGCAAAATCCCTATGACATTCACCAAAACTTTAGCTAGTGGAATGCCTGTTCGCTCAGACAGATAAAGCTTTATTCTATACATACATACACATATACACACAAACATATGTCTACGCATACGTGTGAATTTTGATTGCCGTTTCAATAGAATTACCGGAACGCATTGTTTTCTAAAAGTGAGACTAGAAATCCAATGGCGGCTTGGAGGGGTTCATGTAGGGGTACACGGTTTCAAAATTAGACGGTACGACGTTCTAAACATAACTAAGGCATCGTCCACTAAAACAGCGCCAGAATTTATTTTGGGATGGTACACACAGGCCCCTAGGCAAAGGGGGATGCTCTATCCCCAATATTGTCTTCAGTTGACTTTTTCAACTTTTGTTATTAATTAGGAAATATATTAAAAATAGACTTTTGCTGCTTGAGAAACTCCAAGATCATTCGTGTATACGGGATGTAATAAAATTACAAAAGGCATAGGGACCATGAAATTCAGTTGATTTAATAATAATGTTTGATAATAATTTTTTATTTATTTATAAATTCAT